AAGTGAGAACTTATATAGGAATCCTGAGCGCGCCAAAACTGATTGCGCAGGAGTAGATATGTGGTCAGAAAATTGATCAGCAAAGTGATCATGAACCCGAACTAGATAATAATAACAGTGCGATAACAGTTAACAAGGTGCATCGTTAGTTTGGAGGAACTGTGTTGGGGTCCATCCTTTACAATCGCATACCACATGTGGCGCTGTCAGACCGGATAACGGTATAGAAAGGGCATTACATTGGCTCGAAGATTGCACTCTCTGAATGCCGCATTCAAGGCGGACGAGTTTTAACGGAGTTCTATACCACTGAGAAGGGCTACCCGTGGTGGAATCTCAAACAACTAGTCGTGGCCTATGGCGACAGTGGAAGGCAGCTTTGACATTTCTGGCTTGATGTCGTCAGCTCTTCACGCACTGAAATTCGTACGGAAACCCCTTCCATGCCATTTCCGTTATGGTGATCTCGTACGACCTCTTTTCCGATACTTCTGGGAAACCTCATTTTTAGCGGAGTTGCACGCTTTCTCGTTTTTTTCGTCACCGATAACCTAATCTCCACTAACCTTTCTTTTCCACTGTAAAATAGTACTTCGAAACATCGTGAACTGCCTTTAAGGCCGCGGTACAATGCTACAGGATATGGATATCACGGGTAATGTCCGTTGCGCGCGTCCGTCGAAAGTAGGTCTCCTCACCCACTTCGCGGGCGGCGCACCCACTGAGACTTCGAGATGGGGTGTATGTCGTTTGGCGCAATGGTAGAAGATGATAGAAGCCCAATCCAACATCTATAGAGGAGAGGAGAGCAGAAGATTACGCGATATGAATGAGTTGAAGGGGCGATGGGCGGAGTCGCGCCGCCTCAATTGGGCGGCGCGACCCCGCCCATCGCGCCAAACGACCGGCTCCCTTCGAGATGACATTACAGTACCACCAAGTGTCAGTGGAGCGAGTAAACTGCATTTGTCCAGTGTTATCTTCTCTTTGGTTGACTGCCGGGAACCAAGCACAAATCGTATGCCCCATTGACAATTGCGACGTTCGTCAAGTATCGCGGGCTCACCCGCCGCGTGCGACGGCTGTGGCGTGACCTGGTTTCGACGGACGCGCGCAACGAAACACACCCGGATATCACTATTTTTGTACTGCTCATTATTTCCTTTATTTTGCTTCGATAACCCACCACAGCCGGATTGATGGGAGATGCAGCGTGGTAACAGCAAAGAATGGCAACACCTTTTGTATGGTGAGTGGAAAGTCCGCCATATCACGTGTGCGTTTTGTGAAAATCTCTCGAGTGCGTCATGCCATTGTCAAAAGACATAATCGAATAGGAGTGACTCGATGGTTGGGAAAAAACAAAGCTGGGTGGACTAGCTGTTGAATGTCAACAAACGAACAGTTTTTTTTGAAAGAGAAATATCGAGACGTAGGAAATGAGGGAGCTTTAGCAACACTAAAAAAATGTGCGCTTTTGGAGATGAGGTAACAACCCAAAGTACCTTTCAGAGTTATTTCCGCGAGGTTTAAAAAGTATGAAAAAACAGATAATAGGTTTTTTCTTTGTCATTTTCAATTATTATCGAATAATTACAATTGATGCCAGGAGCATTCTCAATATACAAAAAGCATCTCGTGTAAACTTCTACAGCATAACGAAGGAAAATTAAAGGGCATTGTATTGAAAGCAGACAATTTATCCTTTTTTACATTATGTTGTTATTGTTGTTGGATGCGGTGAGCAGAGCGATAAGCAGACGCAAGTAGTCACCACTGCACGTTTGGTGAAGATCGTATTCGAGTGTTCGTTGATACTTGCGCTTGTACTCCTCACAAATATCGTACAGGTCGATCTGAAAAAAAAGCATGAATTCTGCTAGATCACCAGCTTTTTTTGTGTCTGTTTGCCTTTCCGCACAACACCGGCCTGACAAGAACACAATTCTACATCAAAGAAATAAGACAGATGCACCTTCTCCACATTCCTAAACGCTGACCTGATCTGTTCCACTACGAAATTTTCTAGTGAAAATGTGGGGTCGTTTCAGAATATTGGTTCGGTTTGGTTATTTTTATCTACTCTTTCAAACCGTTTTCGGAAAAATGTAGTTAGAGATGCGGGGCAAAATAACAGTGCTAGTATTATAACGAGAATTGGACACGGTTTTACGTAATGATCCGTCTGTTATATTAGCACCAGTTGGGCTACGCACGCTACTGCGTGCACCACGTGCCCACTACCGCTTACCTACGAATTGTTAGAGGACCAATATGAATAGTATCGGTTGACTTCCCATTTCACAACTGTTTCCCCACCGTGCTCACTTGAAATTCACACTCTTCGTCGTGCCTACGTGATTTTCGGAAGAACGCACAAACGGGCATACAAACTGGCACACAAAATTACCGCTTTATATATAGAGACAGACGGACCGTCCGGCTAACGCCAGGCTTCCCCTTTCTTATGATAGAGTTGTGATAGACGGCAAACAGCACACTCTGCTTTGGAACGAATGATACTTTTCGGAACACGATGTTCGATAGAGGAACAATAGGGCATGCAAGCCGATGCCTATGCCTTTGGTTAGAATCTCTGTCTCGATCTGTCGCTGTTGATGTTAAAAATAATGACCTATTTTTTACCTAACTTATTTTTATTTATTTTTATTTATTTTTTGACCTATTTTATTTTTATTTTGAAGACTTAACTGGTGGGCAACCAAACCCTTGAATGGTACTCACAAATGTTGCCGAGTCATAATAATACCATTATCAAATGCCTTTATGAATGTAGCGCCTTTTATCTACTAATACATCATTAAGTGAGAATCCAAGATTGTTAGCGGTCGGATAAGCTTTGTCACGAATGGTATCAAAGCACAGGGAAACCGTGATCCTTCATTGAATCGCAAACTTCGCTGGGTAGCGGTCGTGAGCAAGGAGTGAACCAAATTTCATAATCGTTCCCTATCAGTGCACTTACCCTTTCTGTCGAATGAAACATATCAAAGAATCACAGCACAGCCAATAACAAAGGCGCTAGAGTTCAAATTGTGATTTAACCAATTCGCGCAAAACTCGCCTTCTATAGGCGGGGTCTGTTCCTTCTACCTTCCATAAGTGTGCCCATCCTTCCGCCTACACTCCTGCCAAGTTTGAACGCCCTAGGGCCAAATTAAAAATTTTGATTTTCGAATTTTTTAGGTCCAATGGGACAGGAGCTATTATTTTCCACTAAAACATTTCGCACAAACCCCGCCCACTGCGGGCGCCGGCCTTCTCACCTAACATAGTGTTTCCATCCTGCCTTGAGTACTCCTAGCGAACTTGAACTCTCTGGGTAAACAGGGACAGGAGTTATAATTTTTTGCTGAAACATTTTGTTTCGCATGAAAGCCGCCCCCTGTGGGCCCAGTCCGGCCCTGCCACCCACCACATGTGTTCCCATCCTGCCGCCTGTGCTCCTACCAAATTTGAACGATCTAGACCCACGGGGACAGTAGTTATGAATATCCGTACAAACAGACAGACAGACAGACAGACGGACAGACGGACGGACAGACAGACGCGAGCGCTTTATATAAAGTAAGGACTGTATCAGTAACGAAGAGGAGGACGAGAACCGGCCAACTCTGCGCGCTGATGCGGTTTGAACCAGGGGAATGTAGTTTTTAACTTGACCTCAGGAGGGTAGGAGGTAGGGGTGGGTGAGATGATCACCTTGTTCAAGAAATGAAAACTCATCCACCCGGGTGCTCCTTCCCTCCAAGGACTCAAAAGTTGTCAGTTGAAAAATTGCATGTTCCTGATATAACACGGAATAACATGTAACACCATGTTAACCCCTTGTTTTACCAACACTCTTATGTGCGCCTCCTACAAGATGGACTTGATAGTCCGATGAATGTGTTATTCGGTAACCCCCGCAACGCCCTACCACCACCCTCGGGTATTGCCATGGTACGTTTTTGTTGCGTACTAATATATGTGAGGGAGTTTGGACGCGCTTGAGCGTTTCACCTCGTTTTCCCTACACTTCTGAATGAAGGCCTTCTGCTCATCCGTTTTCACCCGAAATCGCTTCTAATTGAAAACTCATTCATCACAATGTACATAGGGAGAAAATAATGTAAAAGAAACAGAGCGAGAACTTTTATAGAACTTTTTTTGTGAAGAAAATGAACGTTCTAAGAGCTCACCCAGTTTTCATACCTAGCTGTTCGCCAAAGAGGACCTTAGGGAAGGAACCTCTACCACCATCATTGTAAATTCCCTCCCTCTTGGAGTGATGGGGCTCGCCACAAACAGAATGAAGGTTTCGTTTTTGGAGCTTAGCAGCATATTGATAAGCTGATTTTGGAAGTGCGCATTTCCCACAGATATGTATCATCCGATTATCTCGATTCGACAGAGGAAAATATTTTTGCATTAGAAAAATTTGAAATACGAATGTACCGTAAGAGGGCCCCAATCAGTTGCAAGGGAAAGGCAATGAAATCGGATCACAGATCGTAAATCCTCCATTTCGTAAGCCAACGATTTTCCAGCGGTGGATTCAATTTCTGGGTATTATACTGCTTGCTTGTAACTATATTATTATACATTTTTCATCAAAATACTTTCATTCTTTCGCGCTACATCTTTCGTGCTTATAAGATTTGGACGGGGCGGCAACGAAGCATCCCACATAGAAGCAGCCAACATAACTACTCCAATTTTGCTTTTGTCAAGCTATTTAATTGGTTTGCTTGTAAATGAGAATGGTCGGCAAGGCCTGCTTTTCATTAAATTCCTAATAACGTAATGTTGTGTTCCCCCTGCAGACACTACCATTTATGCATGTTACTTGGCCGTCCACTCCAATCCGTGTTAGTAACGTTCTTAAGCAGAGGATGTAGGGATTACATTTTACCTTGTGTTACCCAACACATGGTAGCATAAGGTACATGGGACATGGAAAGTTTTTTTCATCACAGACAAATGACTCTTTCTCTCTTCCTTTCTAACCCTAACACTGGGACGCGGCAAACCGCGCGGCGAAATTCGTGGTGATCGACATTCTCTGGCGCCTATCATTGGGGAACGGGTCAAGTAGATTGGACATGTAGGGCCAGCTGACGCTATTTAACTATCCCACTTCAATTTGTGCCTCAATGATAGGAGCCAGAGTTGTTTTAATCACCACGAATTTCGCCGATTTGTCGCGTCTATCCAGTGCTGAGTGAGTGTTCCGTCTCCCCTAGCACTTCCCATTCCCACCGCTTCCACTGTTATATGTGAGTTCTAAAGTAGCTGTGGCACAATACCGTACAATTACATCAATATCAGTTATTCAAATCTTTCACAGTGGGCCTACGATGGCAAGATATCCTACGAGCTCAAGTGATTCGGATGCCGTCCGATAATGAGTGAAATAGTCCGCTGCAGCACGTTTTCATCATCTCAATCACTCATCTTTCACCACTTTTCTGAAGCCTACTCGCAGCGAGTTATTGGATCTGAGTTCGTTGAGCGCTTCACAAATTAGCGTCTTCGCCTTGCCTTTCGAAGAAAAAGTTCTGAATTTCATACCTCACTGCGGCTGACGGTAATACGGATTATCGTTTGGTGATCGGGCTTCTCTTGGATTAAAGCCGCTCTCAACTGCTCGGCGAAGTAAAGCTGCATATTTCTTGATACTCGGACTGGAAAATCGAGTCAATGGAATATTTAGGTGAAGTTGTGTCGAATCACATCACATACTGCTAGAACATTGACTTACTGATAGTAAGGAAGATTTGGCGGATCTCTGAATGCAGCACTTTGTTCTTCCGTACTAATGTCTCAACGTCCCTCTCTCCATTTCGTATTTCATCAACCTGAAACCGATTTAAGAATAAAGAAAGCAGCACTGTTGTGTGTGCCAAGTTCTACTCCTTTACGAAACTGATTGAATAGCGTCGTATCGCTCTTAAAGGATGTGAACATCTTGATGACAAATTTCTAGCGCTTTCAGTTCCTTAGCTGTATACACTTTTGACACAGTTCGCTTTCAAGGTGACCTCTTTATGCTTAGGGAATCGTGGATGAACCCGTGGATTTAATATAGTGCATAAGTAGCAAAAAAGGCAATCATGATCAGCGAAGCTTGCGAAATATTAGGAATACCACGAAGTATAGAAGTAAGAGGGTTGTACGAGATACCAAGACGGAAATGGTTGAAAGGGACATCTGAACAGGGTTCCAGTCGCGTTAGAGCCAAAAACGCAAAATGTCTACCACTCCGCATGAGTCACAAATCGCTGTTTAAACTTTCAAATTGCGTGCTCCATTCTGGATGGTGTAAGCTCTACAGCGCCACGGAAACGTCCGCCTTCGAATGTAGACGTCGACGAAGTCGGAGAAATAGTGACCGTCTTCACTGGAAATCATTTCGCTTCACGCTTCAGTTACGAGTTTAGGAAGATTCCGTTATCGACAACATTTATGATAAATAAATTCATCAGCTCGTAGAACATCTTTATGATGATGTTACTAGGGCAGATAGTCTAAAAGTTGCCAAGAGACGTCTCTCTTTGAAAACCCTTAAAAACGACACAGGAAAATCTGAAAGAGAGAAGAGCAGCTGTTTTGGTCGAAGCCGCCGTGATGACGAAAAGCATTTGCGAAGCCCTCCATGACTACGTCACTTACAAGACTCAAATGGTTTCCACTCGTCGTCCTCACGGAACATGCTGCNGAAAGGTAATGAAGAAAGCCAACTAAGGCTTTCACTAAGATCTCTTCGACAGCAACGTCTACCTGCCTATCTTCTACTAATTTAGGCAGACCGGATATGGCCCGATATCATGTTTCGGCCAGAAAACTTCCCTTTTATTCTTCTTTGGGGCTTACAGATTCATCCTAGCGGGAAATCTCAGGAACTATTCTTATCGTGAACTCTGCCCCCAATGTAAAACGAGGAGTTCAGCAGAGCGATAGCACTTCGCTCGAACTTTCCAGTGCCACTCTCGAGAAATCATTTGGAATGGGAAAACTTGATGTGAAAGTCGATTGCCGTCTTTTACATCACCTCCGCTTTACTTTGGTGATCCTTTAAGAATGGAAAAGCTATAAGTGCCCTAAGTTCTGTAACATTTCTCTTCCCGAAAAGCTTACCTGGTCAAAAACTGCAGCTAGATGCTTCCATGACGTGCCGACGAAGATTTGTTCGAATAGGCTCATGTTCTTTGCTATTTCTTCTATTGAATTCTGTAATGTAACTTTGCGATTATCGAACCTCCTCAGAAACGATCGACATGATTTACCTTCATAAGCAATTCTGCATGGGCTTTCACTAGTTCGTGATCAACCTTGCGGCCACCTTCAGGTCTCGATTTGCATAGGAGTAAGGTCAACATGCGACCAACGACCCCTTCCACCTTCAATATTAAATTATAATTTCAATGTCAACAACATTTTCATGTAAATATTATTCTAAACTTGGCCAAAGAGATCAGTATAAAGCGGAACACTAATGAAATAATTGAGATGTGTCCACAACACATAGTGGTGATGAAGTGAATCTCCTATGAGCCCCAAAATTCTCCAGAGAAATAAGGACGTCATAGCTCTGATGGTTAAGGCTCGGGCAAACATCAGAACTTCCACTGAAGAGGATCTTGGGTCGGACAAGCTATGTATTTTAAGTAAAGATAGAGGAAAGCACGTGGTCAATCAAGCCGGTCTTGAAACGATCATCTCGACTTGATCTCTTCAGATACCGATTTTTAACATAGAATTTTTCCCAGTGTTATGGAACCCATTGCAGCTGAGAAATAAGGTTCTGTGTACATTGACGGGTCTCGGATCAATTATATCTCACTCTTCATGAGTTATTCGTAAACACCGTGCCACCCATTCGTTCTATACCTCGTTTTGTCAGTTTTTAGCAACCGCCAGGCGAATAATCACAACTTTCAATCGAAACTCTCGTGTAGTGGCTGTTGAGCACCAAAGCGTAAAGTCAAATTAAGAAAGTTGATTTTGAGTCTATCTCAAAGTTAATTGCAGCAGTGCAACGGACTAACAAGTGATTAGCCCCCCGTGTCTGGGACAAAGTGCAAAATATAACAATTCGGATGAATCCATACCTCTTGGCATTCCTGCTAATACGTTTTTCCATTCATAGGCAGCCAAAATAGATTAGATAATAGAGTTCGGAAGCGACTAATTTTGTAACGAGGATAACCTTTAACTGGTTGCTCTGTTTGCATTTACTCTGCTCACTCATAACGTACCTACGCAAGTGAAGCCTCTGTGAAGACTTTCACTTACTAAGTTCAGCTCATTGGTGGACTTTCCAGAACTACCCTCAAACATAGGAAGTGACTTTTCTGCCCTACTTTTGTGATTTTGATACGTTGTAATGTAGCTGGAAATAAAAACAAGTGCTATAAAAGCTGCAATAACGAGAATATAACCTTTGTGCTTGTCTCTCCTGAGCATGGGCATTTGTTGCCTTATTAACGATCTGTGGCAGACAGGTTTTTCATGACGGATTATTACAATTGTTTGGCTGTTTCAAACGGAAGCATTTCGAGATCAATTCCAATCCATTAGCATTTCGAGATTCATCCCAATACCTATCTTATTTGCCGTAGACCACTTTTTAACTAGTCGCTGCTCATATTAACGAACTAGGAGAGTTGCACTCCAACAATGGGTCACTAACGTTGATTCTCTCTTCCAAGTTTCTTCAAAGTTTTGCAAGAACTCGGCTTTGATGGAATCAAAGTGAGCGGTCTTTGGTTGGGTCTCCAATTCTGTCCGAAGTTCGTTGATCTGAGTTGTGACTAATTAAGAGTTGGTTAGAGCAAGATAAGTAATATACCAGAGAATTGTGAAACGCTTTGAGGCATCGAAGAGCGACAAATTAACCGAAACGTCAGGCAAAATCGATTTCTCACCTTTGGAGAAATCCGTTCGCCACAGAAACTTCGAATACTCGTATATACTATGAAATATAATTACTAGACTGAGGGCCCACACATAGCTACTTCGAGAGTGTTTCATGTGGGCCACTTTTGTAAGGGTGATTTTTATAAAGAGTTACTGGAGAAAACGCATGGGCTGCTTTCATAGTCCGCCGGCGTGCCGGCGTGCGTGCCGGCGGAGGCAGTGCTAGCGGGGAGGAGGGAGGCAGACAGATAGGCAAACAGTCCACGCCCCTTNGGACTGTTTGCCTTACACTGTCTGCCTTCCTGCTCCCCTCTAGCACTGCCTCCGCCGGCCGGCCGGTGGACTATGAAAGCAGCCATGCAGCAGCATCATCTGGCAGTAACGTATCCCTGAGAGATTCCAAGTCCTGATAGTAAATTTCTAGTTCGCAGTCGTACTCTGCTTACACACAATACGATGTTGTGAAGTAGAGTAAAGAAGATAGCTTCTTTTTTCTCAATATCTCTGAGAGAAGATGTGATCCGGGGGTATATTCAAAGAACTCGAGATCAGGTCACTATTCCTTTCAGAACATCTAAATCAACGTTTTCATTCTGCTGCAGTTCCAGGAACAAGGTTCGACATTAAGTCAACATCATTGGATGCGATCTAATGAAAAAGTGCTAAAGAACTCTCGGAAACGCTTCCAACAAGATGGTGTAGGGATTAAAGAGCACGGCGCTCGGTAACACGGAACAAGTACGGGTTTGAGCTCATTTTGAGTCAACAAAAACATTAAATCAAAAGAAGTTACAATAAAAACAGTCTACAGCTCAACGGTTCAGTGTTGATATCGCCCAACCGGCTCATCAGGTAGTGTTGTTGATGTGTGCGCTGATAATCTATAGCTTGTAGGCCCATTTAGAAAGCGAAGACAAGGGGGACATCGGTAGTAGGAAGGATAGAAAGCACGGTGCCTGGAATGCTCAACTGTAACCTCGAGTCCCATCAGAGGCCGAAATTTTCCCAAAACTCGCCGTCCTTGTAAGGTTTCCAAGGTTTTTTGATAACACCGGCCACTATCTGTCGAGTTTACATGGGAGGATGAAAATTCCATGCGTGTTCCAGAGGCGTAGTTTCTTAGGTGATCTCTTTTCATTTTTATAGAGCTTTAAGGTGTGTGAGGTAATCTTTGCTCCAATTCCTGCAGTGTGGAATTAAAGGGGATGCCCTGCGAAAATGTGTATGTAGGAAGTTAGTCGGGACTGGATTGTTAAGGGTGCTTCACAACTTGCTTGCCAAAAGCTGAGTTGTGAAGTGTATTGTGACGTTATACTTTGTTATAAGTTTATGTTTAAATCGGGTAAAGCGGGTGGTGCAGTGGCAAGTGGCGCTCTACCACACAGATGTTAAGGGGTTCAATCCCGAAGTCAGATAAACATTATTTTGTGTATGGACGCTCCCTGTTTGGTTAGTGCAAATTGGTAGCTGCAGCCGTTCATAGCTTCATCACTCATGTCAATGAGTAATGAACCAAAGCTAGGGCAGCGGAATTGGAATAAAATCGTTTTTTCCGATTCAGAAAAAAATTGATTCAGATAGGATGTCACATGCGAATAAGGGGAAGTGTAACTCATGATGACTGAGGTCTCGTGATAACTACTATTTTGGATCAAACATCTCGTTTTCTTACAATTCAATATTCTCGACACATGGAAGATTTTCCCCTCTGCCCATCAAAGCCAAGAGGAAGAAAACTACAGATGAAAACATTCAGCTATCATCAAACTTGAACAACTCGGATGTTTTCAGTTTACCAGATCATTTTGAATTCTGACTCGGCTTCCAGATGACGCAGAATAAGTCTGGCAATAACATGCACGGCATACCTTCACTAGGATATCCTTATCTATTGATTTCTTGTAATCCGCCAGATAAGTGTCACGTATGACACGCAATTGCTGAAATAAAAAAACTGAAGGTAAGTCGTAGTATCATGCTTAAGAAGCAATGGACTCACTCGTGCCGTTCTGGTACAGGCGATCTCGATTGCCACTGAACGATCGGCATAACGATTCTGAAAAGATCACGAATCAGGAAGACATTTTCCAGAGAAGATGGAAAAGATTTTTAACTCACAGAAAGGGATCGTTGCAAATTCATGGTGTCATACTGATGAGCGGGTTTGAAAAGTGCTTGTGCCATTTGGAAGAAATATCCGCCAGTTTCGTCCTCGAGATCATCGATTAGCTTCTGAAGTTGCTCGGATCGAAGTCATCCACAGTCACACTGATGAGCCTGACAATCCTTTCCCAATTTCATGTGACTCACCCTTCCATACATATCTTCGTAAGCACTCAGAATTTTTTGGCGCTGAAAATTGTTATGGTACAAGACGGTGTCAACGATGATCTGATCCTTTGTATCTGAAAAGGTGAGCTTGTTTTCGATCTGTATTTTTAATACTTCAAAGTGTAACTAAAGTCAAACCCTCATTGCGAACTCAGTATAAGTTCTCCAACTCATTGTGAACCGCTGTGGATCACTTCACTTCTCAGAAGTTTACAATTACCAGTTTGGACAGAAAAAGATTGACATTTACTATAGTCAATCGTAAGCCGTCGATGTCAAGCTTAGGTCTAATATAAGACACCCTACGTCACCAAACACCTGATCTCTCCCATTTGTCCTTCACCGACCGTCCGAATACCCACTTCTGATCCACTGACTGGGACGCTGATGTGCTCCCCATCGGTTCATTCAACGCTACACTCACTGACACCTTTACAGATTCCGCAAAAAAAACCGGTTGTTCCTGTATCGTACAGCAACTAAGTATAGGGTAGGTAGTAAAGGTAGCTTATGAAAGCACTCGAAGCGCATATAAATATAAATAATGTAATTTAAGCTGTTTGCGCTATTTTGAGAGCGGTCGAGCGAATGAGCCGCAGAGGAAGTCATCTCCTTCTTTAGCTGCCGTTTCCAGCAACCTGGGCAGTTTTGTTCCCTTAGAAATAAGGAGTGAACCGCGAAGCCCCTATAGCCTATGTTGATACAGGGATGAATCGATTTGGAATGCCTCACCCATTCCACTAAGCGCCTTTCGCAAAGTCTCGCTTGCTTGAGCCGGATGGAAGTCCGGACTGTCAGGCCCATAGATCGTGCCACGAAGATCCTCGTACTGAAAAACACATATGACTAATGTTGACTGCAATTAACGAAGTTCTCACACGCACCTGGCTTTCATACATCTGATACATCATAGGCATATTTAGCCTTCGAATGTGACTGCCTTCGGAATCGATCGATGAGCCAGTGCTCAGATTCTGGAACAAAGCTTTCAATTAAGGCGATAGCAAACCAAGATAAACCAGCAAACAAGAAAATTTCCCCTTGGAATTCAAGGCTCGGTCCGAGCACAAAGTAGTAGCAGTAGAATAATAGCATCGCTCATAGCCCTCTACTGATTACTTTGTGGTCCTGATCTAAACTTACCCATCAGTGCCTCGGAACTGCATGCGATTGCACAAACCACATTGTTATCATTTTGTAGAAAATCGTATGGGACCTGATAGAGGATGAATAGGAGGATATGTTACTGCGAAGGAATGTCTCAGCAACAATCCTCAAGTTAACTTGACCTATTTGTCGCAGTGCTTCCACGACGAAATGTGCCTTTACAGTTTTTGATTTCTGATGCAATTCCAGTACGGCACAGTTTTACTCGCACGTGGTTTTTATAAAGTTGAGATAAAAATATAATAAGAGCACGCAAAGAGGGATTAGAATTTATGGGAATTCAACACCTACCCGCTGCACACGACGCTCGTTAAATGTGATGGTTTCTTCAGAGTCCTCCCCCATTGCTAGCTACTGTAATCAGCGTAATGTTGTGGAATCCAAAACAACTGACAGGCTTAAAGTGCTCGCGGGGAACACGAGTCGCCGAGTAGGCAACCATTTTCATTTAAATGGAAGCACCAGTACCAAGCAGAGAATGAAGTTGAAATGACCAGTTAAAAAACAGTGGACTAAACCAACCAACAAAGAAAAAATGCGATCAAGAAAAAGGCTGCAGACTAGTCACCGGAGCAAGCAGTTGGCGCTGAGAGGTTCTTCAGAATGTTGTTATGAAGGCTAGTCGATCCTTCTGATGAAACGACACGGGGACTTAGAACGGCTAATCCGGATAAGACTGCATACGTAACCAGTCACTTCTAGTTAATGGGTGCGACTTCAAAGCCCCTGATAAGGTCTGGGCAATATTCATCCGCGTGACAGATCACTTAAGGATAATGAGGTAGTAGCAGTAGGAAAGAAAAATGGTGCTTGATGCTCATCATAATTTTTCGAAAACATCGTAACACATACAGTATCATGCAGCGTCTGATCAATCTACAAAAAAAGTACAATATCAAAGGGGCTGTAGCAGAAGGAAAGTAGAAGCTGAGAGTATTCTATAGGTCACTGCAATATGCAGAAAGAGAAACGAGTAGAAAGATAGAGAAGTAGAACCAGAATAAAGCAAAACTATGAGGAAAATTGGAAAGAAAGGGATTGAAAGAAGTGATCAGAACGGTAGAGGGGTGCAACGAAAAGACAGGAAAGCCATGAGGAACATTGGAAAAAAGGGATTGAAATGTGGCCAAGCGATTGCAGTTTCAGTAGGACAGATTGCATTGTAAAGAGAAGAATGTCTGAGGAATAGGTATCTCAGAAGGCTCGATCAATTTGAGCTATTCTTTGTCCACAAGCTGCCTAACAGCGCCTTTCTTGGACAACTTTGCCGACAAACCAATAGAAAATGGACTAATGAAACATAATTTTTGATGGTCTAGAAAATGGTTCTGCGATGTCTTGACTTGCTTGGTAGAGGTTTTTCTGTACGTCGGGGTTACAGAGAAGGAGACCAACAGAAAAAAGCCGATTGGCTGACTGACTGCGCTGACTTCGAGCAATCAAAATGAGAAAAGCGATAGCTGGTAAGGTGAGGAGCATAATTCGCGCTAATTTCGAGGTATCTACATATTTGGGTGAAATATGGAAGTCATAGTGCCGAAAAGTGCTAGCATGCCCAGAAGAACGCGAAAATATTCGGATTCCTATAAATATTAGGCTTCGAAAAAGTAGCAAAAAAAGAGTTTGCACGAGATCGCCGTCTTCTTCCCACTGGGTGTCTATCACATAAGCGTACTATTTGTACCTCCTTGTGAGTAAATCTGTCACAACAAAGCCGGCCTAACACTCCCATTTTCAGTGTGCGCGTCAACCAAACCGTTTTCGAGGGCCGTGTTTTTGTTAGGTCCTGTCTAGACAGTTCTACGGCCCAACAACATCCCATGTACTATTCTTGGGAGCCACTTGGAGATTCACCCTAGTAGAAAATTGCATGAACTATTTTTATCGTGAAATATGCCTGCCAAACTTGAATTGGATCCAAACCGGAAACCACTGCCAATCTAGAGATTAAAAACAGAGCTGCTACTGTTTCGATTAGATTTCAATGGAAATTTTGTAAAAATTATTCCATTCTGAAAAACTTGGTGCCCTACGTTTTCTATATAAATCCATTGCTTTTCTCCCAACTGCCCCAAGTTTTCAAATACTCTACGCGCTCTCTGGGTAAGATTATTTTCAAATGTTAAACTCTTACTGGAATGGCCTTCTTCTCTCCTGTTCCTTCCCCAGCAGAGTGAGGCAGTAATCCAAAAGCGAATTATTCCTTCCCACCTATCACGTATTTCACAAGTTTCAATGAAATGCGTTATTATTCTCAAATTTATGGGATAATCTATGTATATCCTTCTGAATAATTTAGTTCAATGGCCGATTTTGCTAGTTTCACATATAAATCAAATATTCATCAAGAAATTCGCTTTCATGCAAAAAACCCAATCCATAACGCTATGTATATCCAAAGTTTGCCATTCCGACTTAGCTCACGATAGATGTGATCGGCTGTTTTTATTTCACTTAGTATAGGGAGCCTGTGTGTCCTCGATTTTTCTTTGATCTTGGGAGGGTGTTGGGTGTGCAAGTATCTCAAAGTATCGGTGGTCTTCTATTAGGTTGATGCATAATTATTGCGGATTTTTTTCAACAACTTTTATTCAACGAAGCGATAAAAATACTGAATAAAAACATGTTCAAATGATTGCTCCGAAACTTATCCAGCATCTAGATCAAGTACTGCTTCCCATTGGCTAGATAGTCGGATTCCAAAAGCGAAGAAGTTTTGATCTTTGGGGACAATGCACGCCTTGACATTGGCCATCAAGTCATCCAAATCGTCGTAGCTTCTATTCTCTAGCCTTTTTTCAGCGAACGATCGACGAGATAATCCATAGAAGTTTCTATCGGTGAATATGGCAGATTTAGGGGCAGATCCCATTTCTTCGCTGGTATTGGCTAATTGTTCCATCGCCGAAAAGTTACTGAGGTCACGGAATGAGTCTGCCACCTTCCAACATGTCTCGAAGTAGTAGAGCCTAATTTCGCGAATATGCAGATGATTTTCTAGGTACGTTTTTAGGTAGGTAGAGGAAACCAAGTAGAGCCGCGAAAAAATCCGCAATAATTATGGATCAACCTAATAATATCCTTGAGCAGCGAGCGACGCATGTCTGTGCCATAGTTGACTCCCAAGGAAGCACGCTCAGTACTTTCACAAGCTCTTTTTGTGAAATTCGAAAGATGCTATGTTGGCTTGTTTTTTAAAGTTCGATCCACTTGTTTTAGAGTGATGCAAAAATGCAGTTTTTTGCTTTCCCACAGACTATTCATGGGAAATGATCAAATTTTGGGCTCACTGATTCAAAATTCTTTTCTACTACTACTGCAGGTGATTTTTTTTTNTTTTTTTTTGATTTTTTCAGGAATAGGTCTATTTGAGTGTTCATTGGTCCCTTCCCTTCTGCACACCTGCACTTCTCATGCACTTGCAAAGGTCCTACTATATACAGGGTGCACCATAAAGATGGTACCAGCCATACGGAAATCCGCAGTTTCATTCTTCGAAAGTTTTTTCAAATTTGGACTTTTTACTATTTTTATCTTATATCCGAGCTCACATATCTGCTTTGGCGCTCACAACTCGTCCATTTCAAAAAATGGAGAAGCTTCGCAATCAACCGGCAGCCGTTCCGTCTTTGCGGGCACTTGGTGAGTCTTTCCCCAGGATCGCTCGTCGTTTCGGCATTTCTCGAATGACGGTCTTTTGAATCTTTTGGATCGCGATGCGTGGACAGGTCAACGACAAACGCTAAGACGGTCGTCTTGTAACAATTCGACAAGACCCCTCTTCCAAATGCAATTGCTTGGGAATGATTACCCCACGAAACCTGCAGGAACACGAGAAAAATAACTGCCGAGTGCTGAGGTGAATGTATGTTCCATTTCAATGAAAATAGTTTTCCAAAAGCAAATATATTTGTGGTCTTGTTTCTAAAGCTGTATAAGCTTCATGACCGAAAAAGTTTGAGAGAGAGAGAACAAATGCCCGCTTCCAAACCAGCTTTTCTGATGAAAAGGTGTTCAGCGTGAAAGAATTGTCCAGAGCCTGCAGTACACGTATAATCCCTACTACAAATGGTGAGGGTCGGATCGTTTCTCGTAGCCATTTTCTTTCTTCCATGATGGTTTTAGCTATAACCTGTGCCCTCAGAGCGATATCGCCTATTTCTGTCGAGAAAATCATAAAAATTAATCAGGAAATCTTTATGAGGAACACTTCTAGAAAAACGCTGTTTAAGGTATACTGTTTGGAAAAGCTAGCGTACCTGCTTAGGATTGGAAAAAATCAAGATTGGTGCTGAAAAAAAGCAAAAAAAAAAAGAAAAAAAGAGGAAAGTAAACAAGAAGAAAGGAAAAATTTTAAACAACCCCCCCCCCCCCCCCCGCCCCTCCCCCCATTTCCTCACGCTTCCGAAAGGTCCACGAATTCGAATAGGTCGGTGGGTCTTGAGATTCTCAAGAAGCTCTTGGTGCCGCCCTCAATGAGTAGTCAAAGCGTCTCTGAGTTATGATTAGTACAAAAACCGTTATCGGGTGACCGTGCGTTCATTTTGTTGATACAATACATAGTAAATAAAGGAAAGTCATGGGGCGTTGATCAATCCCGTGCAAGGGATGCGCCCAAGCATTTGACTTCCATCCAAAATCGTAGTGGCGTAATGAATGCGTATGTGACCTATGCAATGACTTGTGGTGGCCAGTCAAGATCGGGCCAGCGCTTTTATCCTTTCAGAAGAGTCTGGTACCAATT